TCTGCCCCCATTAGTGATCTTCACACCCCCCCCGCCAGAACCCCCCGCTGGGACGGTGGGGGAGGGAAACTTGGAGGTGTGAGCCCCCCAACACAAAAAGGGGGCCAAGGTTGGGAAACACTGGTGCAGATCTACTAAACGGCTCCAGCAAGCCAGGGTTCCCTGGCTGAAAATCTTCAATAAGATCCAACATTTGGGCGGCCCATTCTTTGCGTGTAAGAAAATGGGTCTTCTCTGCCAGGCCTCCCTCCAGACTCCTGGCACACGGAAAAGTCGGCGCTTGCCAGATGGGCTTCGCACGAATGCTTAGGGAACGGATCACTCCTTTCTGGAACAGGAGCATCCTGCAAAAGCCTTGTGGTCGCTAGAGGTCCTTGCAAGAAGCCCCCCTGGCAACATGGCATCTCCAGCTTTGAAAATGCCAGTCCAGGGCTCAAGTGAATTACGTTTCAAGCAGGCCTTGGGCAATGTCTTTCTTCCGGGGGGGGGGGGGGGAATGGTTGGGGCCCCCGTTGGCTGTGGGATGCCTGTTTCATGCGCTGACCAGATTTGCCATCTGTTTACTCTTTTACGTAGTTATTTTTACACTGTCTTGTACTGTGAGTCAAGTGTCTGGAGTCAGTCTGGGGTTGGGTGGCACCTAAACAGAATAAATAAATGAAGTAAATGTAGGGGAAAAGATGCAGAGCATAACCCTGGATGAAGAATGCAGGATCATGAGAGTCTCAGTCTTTATTTCTCATTCACAGCTAGCAAAATGGCTAATCTGGAAAGTTCAGCTGGATCTAGTTAGTACTTGGAAAGGAGACCACTAGGAAATCATGGGCCTGTAGACTAGATTGGGACATTGAGCAAACACCCCAGAAAAGGGCCACGAATAGGGTTCAGGGCCACGGAGTTCCTGTTTCTGGCAAAGTTTGGTAGGGAAAGCCCTTTTTTTTACCTCCCGTTCCCTACAGACTTCTCTCCCAGTTTCCCGTGAATCAATTCTTTGTTTTTTCCAAGCTCAAAATAACTTTTTATCTCAGCATCTCGCTGGCTCCTAGGGAACGTTCTGGTGCTCGAGAGAGTCCGCAGCAGAGATTGGAGGCTTTTTAAAAAGTAATTTTATTTAATTCGTTACATTATACCCGGCGGTCCATTTTCAGACAAATATACAAAAATAAAAATGAAGAACTCGCCACTCAAAAGAAAAGGGGAAAAAAACCAGCCAAGCTTCCCTGGTTGTCGCCGGGTGAGGACGATCAGCTGCTCGGCTGCATTGCTCTGTATATTTGGCCTTCAATATTTCTTTCATGCTTTTTTGAGGGTTCGGAGGATTTCATGGGATTCTCAGGAATACCTACCAGCAATCTTGCAAGAGATCAGGGTGTCTGCAAGGGGTGGTCCAAAAAGTCAAGATGGCGGCTCGGATGAGGCGACCGAAGCTCTGTTTTTTATGTGCATCACATCACACAGGCGAAAGGCACCTGTGAAGCTTCAATCGCACCACTGCCATCTCCATCTTGACTTTTTGGACCGCACCCTGCCGACACACCTGCATGGGTTTCTAATCTTTTAACCCACCTCGTTATGACGAGCCTAAGACCCTTCACTCAAGTTCTGGGGTGAAAAACAAGGATTGCCAACAAAAGCAGATTTTGGCTCAGCCGTTAGGAGAAGCGCTCTGCTGGACTGACCAGATCCAGCAATGGGACAGACTGCAAAGAAGGGATGGATTGCTCTTGATAGACCTAATTTTATTCGTGTTGTGATTCTAACGTTGCAGAGGTTCAATCCAGGTTTCAGGTCTCTGGAGACTCCCAGTTCTCCTAGAAGACATGAGGGCTATGTTGGCAGGAGGAAGCAAATTGTGTGTGTGTGTGTGTGTGTGTGTGTGTGTGTGATGCAGGCTGTTGAATTGTTTAGATCAGTGTTTCTCAACCTTGGCAACTTTAAGACCTGTGGACTTCAATTCCCAGAATTCCCCAGCCA